CCTGACTCAGACTCTGACCTTTGGTATCGACCCTGGCTTGGAATCTGACTACAAACTCCTCCACTACTCCCAGCTTCACGGTTTGCCCCTGATCTGACCCTTGGTCCTGACTGCCCATGTTGGGATCCTGACAATCCCTTGATCCCATTCAGATAACTCATTATGGGGTATTGCAGCAAGGGAGATTTAGGTTGGACATTAGGAAAAACTTCTAAACTGTCAGGGTGGTTAAGCACTGGAATAAATTGCCCAGTGACGTTATGGAATCTCCATTGAAGATTTTTAAGAGCAGGTTAGACAAATACCTATCGGGGTGGTCTAGATAATACTTAGTCCTGATCAGTTCAGGGGACTGGACTAGATGACCTCTCGAGGTCCCTTCCAGTCCTACGATTCTATGATTGATGGAGTGCCAGGAAATTCAGGGGTACCAGAGCAGATGTCATCATTGGCCACACTAACACTTGGCACTATCTGCATCAGTAGGGGTGCTGAGGCTAGCTCCACCTACCAAGATATCTGACTTTCATCAGCAATGGGACAACTACACAGTGTGCCAAAGATAGTTCCTCTGTCAGGAACCCACATGACTGACTAGATTAATTCAGTCAGTACACACCACACTTAGTCGCCAAATCCTTGTTCAAATATGCAAATTATCAAAAGATTCAATGCAGAGCTCCTCAGAGTAGTATTTTTGGCAGGAGTGTATTGGAGGATAGATGGCTGTCTCATGGAGACTATTACTTTTGGTCCTTGTGCAGAGGCAATGTGTCATCTGAAGAGAGCCAGCAAGAGGGGCACATAGCCTGGAGAATCAAAGGACATGTAGACCACAGTAAATCATACTGAGTTTACTAGAGGCCGACTGGAAGGTAGGGACATCAGCAAAGAATATCCATTACTTTGATAGTACAATATGGAAGGTGGAACTTGAGCTGTGGTATTAGAAACCCAGATACAGCTCCAAATGGGAGCTCCTTGCCTAGCTACAGTCAAGAAAGAGCTGGCTGGACAGCTCTAGGGAATAGAGCAGGAACAGATAGTGGGGCCTGACCAAGTCATGGTTATTGGTTATCACATGGGAATTAATACTTCCTCAGAAAGCTTTGAGCTAGGATACTTCCATCCTGTTTCCCATTGGGAGCATGAGACCTAGAACAGTGATGGTCTCTTTAAAGAAAAAGATTAATTTTCTTCAGGAAAAACCAGTCTGATAATTTTCAGATGTGAGAAATGAGAATCAAGAGGTAAAAAACAGACAAAAATATTATTTTTGTACAACCTTTTTTGAATTTATTATTAGGGAAACCTTAAAAAAAGTTGGCATTCTATTACAGCTTGCAGTATCACTAGTCCAAAAGGTGCTTGTCTTTTGCAAATGTTTAACTTGTAGTGTTTAGTCAAAGAGTGATAGTACACTAGTTTTCTCAGTGGATGTGTTTTTTATAATTGTGTATGCTAATACCATTGTCTGAGCTGAATAAGCTGGAATGGTTCTATTTTGAACTTGGAGGCTTCCCAACTGCTTCTCATCTCTTCTTGCTGTTGTTCCCCCTCTTCCCCCCCTCCTTACCCTAGACTACTTAGCTCAAATTCATACTGGGTGTAACTTTGATAAAATTAATGGATATGCCCACAAGAAGCGAGTGATTAATTTATTAGCTTTAAATGAAAAACAAAGCCCTTTTAATTGAGCTACCAACATAATGCCCCTTAACTGAGTAATTACATGATGTTATTGTTATAACCCTCATCCTCCTTCATCCCTCTCCTCCCTCCTGTTTATTGTTCTCACTCATCACAATTAAAATTAGGTTGTAATTTCATTGAGGCAGGAAACTATTTCTTTTCAACTGAATTTGTAAAATGCCTGGCATAATTTTTGTTTTCTAAAATTACTTAATTATAATAACTAAGTCCGTGGGATGAATTTATTACAAACAATGAAGAAGACTTCCTAAATTCTGCAATACTTTTAAGATAGACTTTTATGGCTCTCTACAACATTTCCAAATTATTCCAAGGAACTTCTTTCTCCTAAAATAGATTTAAGCAGAAGAATGGTATACTTGGTCCTGCCTCAGTGCAGGGGGTTAGACTAGATGACGTTTTGAGTCCCTTCCAGCCCTACATTTCTATGATTTTATGAATGTTATGATCTTCTCATATACTGCATGGAGCTAAAATCACCTTTAAAATTAATTCTGCTGAAAAATTCAGCAGTATTCTGTTGAAAAGGCAGTCATCTGTGATATCGTTCTTCATAATGTTAATACCAGTAAATCACCCTTTATCAATAGAAAGTATATCCCTAATCCTTCTGATTGGTTCAAAATCAGGAAAAGTAAGAATTTGGTTCTAAGTTGTCTTGGCAGTAGATCTTCAAAAGCTTTCTGTGTTGTCTTGTGATGTGAAGAGCTCTTTCAGGCTAGTGATTCCAGAATTTTCACTTTAAATTTGCTGTTCCTCATACATCTACTTATAGACTTGATGTCCAGAATTGCCTTCTGTTTGCTTAAGGCAAAGCATATGGAATATAAAGTAGGAAATTCCCTTCTGTGGATACTGGTTCTATGATTCCTATTTCCTTTAGGTGTTGCAATGGTCCCCTCCAGCTCAAAGCTGAAGTCCTTGTAAGACAGCCCCTTGTTTAAACAGAAACATTTTTTATAACTGTGTGATGTCTGATTTAGTTCTGAAGAGAGAGCATTAATAGGAGGTATACTTTTCAAAACTGTTAACCCATTGCAAAATGTACCTCAGAAGAAGAAGTTGACAATTTATTTTTTCTGTTAAATTGTTCAAGTGATGAAGAAATGTTACTTGAAGCTTCCACTATATTCACTTCTCTTTTTAACTTATTTTTTTCATTACATTTGCAGTGACTGTGGTAGGAGTGTCCACAAATTACACATAAGACATTCATAAATACTGGGCTGCAAATCTAAAACTTTACAGCCCTCCTACCAAAAACATGTCGTGCATACACATATTAACATAGAAGGAGTTATGTAAGACACTGGCCAGATTCTCCTCATATTAGTATATTTCAGTCATTCCTGACAAAATTTAAGAACAATGGTTTCCAGCTCTACATGTTACTACCATAACATATGTGAAAGAACTCTTTACAAGGTGCAATTAAAAAGTGGATCCAGAAGCATAGGAGCAGCATGAAGAATCCAGTCTGACAGCTTTGCAGGATAGGGCAAAGGCTCATTACTGGTGCCAAAAGGTTTAATTTTCTTCATTTAAAAGGTTTAATTTTCTTTTCTTCTTTTCTTAAAAATATTTCCAGGGGGCCTGGATAGCTCAAGGGGTTGGTAATAGGATACAGAGCCTTTCATCTCTAGGTCACCAGTTCGCATCCAGGTCAGTAGTGACCAAAAATTATTACCATTTGATGGTTATTCAGTGACCTATATGAAATGAGTTGGTAGAATTCATTTAGTTCTAATTCCAAGAACAAGTGTCTTCCTTTTTAGCAGTTTGAATAGAGAGACTGGATTGCCCTCTCAATTGAAGATGTGAGATACCTGGACAGCAATTTCCTTCAACAATAATTATGTATTTATTTATAACAATAATTGTTGTTGTTAATATTCTGGTGCCTGAGCTGGATCTGTTGTTAATCCAGTACCTGAGACAACCACTACATTCATAAAACAAAACAATTCTTTCTAATTTATATAGGACATGCAAATAACCCCCACCTTCCTCTCTTGATATCTCTGTTTTCAGATTTCTTCACAAAGATAAAATTTTAAAGGGAGGAGTAAAGAGCAATATAACATGTCCTGGAGATTCTGCATTCAGAAATAAAGTCAAAGGCACCAGCTGATCTAGAATTTCAGATAAGCGTGTAGCGATAAACAGTGACATAGACCAACGCAGTCTTGAAATGAATTCCAGGCATTTCTAATTTTCATTTTATTCTCAATCTCATCAACCTAGTTAGCAAGCGAATTACATTTCTTACAGAATGGGATAAATAAATCCTTGTCTCCTACAGCCCTTTCCTCAGTCTCTGGAGAATAGCCTTCCAGTGTCCAGAACCTCACTGTCACCCCTTCAGTGTTTTTACTAAATGAAAATATTGATTGGAGTATACAGACATTTTTGTAGGAACTTCTTATTTTCTATTATAGAAATCTTAAGAACACAAGCATACTTCCCTTAAAGCTACCAATAAGAGTAGAAGCCACTAAGGAAGAAATTCATTCCTCTTTTAAAAATTAAACTTTTGACTGAGTATTTGGGTGGATTCTCAGTTTCATTAATGCCCCTTTATGCCGTGCTGTCAATGGAAAGAATCCTTAAAGCAGGCAGAAAAGACCCCTGAGAATAGCCAGTATGCAGGGGCCTGCCCAGCTAGTGTAAAGTTGATGTAAGGGCTCTATACTGGTCTTGATCCTAGGCTGTGGCATAGGGGTCATACTGGGGGCTTGGCAGGGGTGTAGCTGGAGTGTACTGTACTATGGCTATACTGTGCTTCCCAGGACTCACAGGGGGCTCTGGGAAACAGAGAGTAAGTTTGAGCAGCCCTGAGATTGCTCTTACCTACACAGAGGGCTGGGAAGGCCCCTGCATGGAGCAGAAAACAGGAAGTGCAAAGGTAGATTAAAGCCAGCTAAAACTACCTCCTCAGCCTATTCCATTCCCACCCCACTGTAGGAATGGCATCACTGAGAATCAGGCCCATATATTAAATGTTGTTTAATATATTAAGATTTAACTGCTCCTTACAAGGTCCCATATGGTATTCTGTGCTGAGGCAAAACCAGAGTTCAAAACAAATCACAAATAAACAATAAATCAGTAGATTTAGTATCAGAGACCTAGGAGAGAAGTGATTGCTCTGCTGTGTAGCCAAGCACACTCCCCACAATTTTTTTGTAGCTTTGACAGGCACATGAGTTATTTACTGTATATTAGAAAAACCAACCTCATGTTTCTACTGTAAATTACTATTGTGACATCTTGCCTCCAGGGAATAGCATAGGCAAGAAGCTATAAATTAATGAAAGAAAACCCTGTGTGACCTTGATATTGCTTAGATAAATCAAGGATATCACCCCATATCCCCCAGCAAAATCTACTCACTGGGTGAGTTAAAAATCACAGATGATTAGTGCTGTGTCTTTAAAGCCCTGCAGGACTTCATCCTCAAGAGGCAGAGAGTTCTGTCATCTGTGGAGCTTCGGAGCTTCAAAGGAGGAGAAGGGGAAGGAGCCAGTCATCAGTTTCCCCCTGTCCTACTACATTACATGCTGGTGGTGATTAGGGGTGTGTGTACACCACTAATGCTTTGCCCGCATAGCTATACCGGTATAGTTATGCTGGCAAAGTCCCCTAGTGGAGACACAGCTTATACTGACAAAGGAGTTCCTTTGCTGGTAAAGTTAAACCATCTCCCTGAACAACATTAGTTATCCTGCCGAAGTACTCTTTTGCTGGTATAACTGAATCTACAGCAGGGCTTTTGCTGGCATAGCTTTGTTATCTAGGGAGTATGATTTTTTTCACACTCCTAACCAAAATAGCTATGCTGGTAAAACTTTGTCATGTAGACAAAGCCTAGGACAAATTTTCTGGATGATAACTTGCTGGATGATTTGTTAAGGATTGCTGCAATAATAAACAAGACCTACTGTAAGCAATTAATAATATTTCATGTGGTAAATCAAATGTATTCCTCCCAAAGGAAGTTCCCCCTTCCCCCCATCCAGCAACTGCTTTGCAGGACAGAAATCTAGCTTTTCATTGATAACTAAAACCCTGCATTATTTTGGAAGATACTTTTTTAAAGGTATTTTAATAGTCAATTTAATCCCTGTTTAGTCTATTCAAAGAGCTCTGTGCTCTTTTGCATTTGCTGTTTTGATCTCTTCTTTTATCAAATTCCCTCTGTAGATTTTGGAATTGTTCATTCACTGATTTTTAAAAATTGTTTCATTTAAAATAAGTTTACTGAATTAAACTCAATAAATGAAACAAGACTGGAGCTTGAAATAAACTGTGTTGATTCAAATAAACACATATTGCAAAATTGTCTTGCTTATCTATGCAAAGAAATTAATCTTTGTAATAATAATGCATGGATCTATAAGGCAATAAAGATCTTATATAAATCTTGATTAATCCTTTTAATGTAGTTCTTGGTTTTTAAATTTTGGGCATTGTGTTTTCAGTTTTAATTTCACAAATCTACATGCCACCAATCATTTTTAAGTTTGCCCACACTATAATTTATTGCATCTTTAGATTATTTTAATTTTCTGTATTTATATTTAACATTTATCTCTCTTTTTTTATAGAGCACATCAATGTAAGACTTCATCTTACTACCACCAGGTTTCTATTTTGTTCTTCATTTAGATATTTTAGTTTTTCTCAAATTTTTTTTGTTCTTCTGGGTAACTTTAAATATTTAAAAGAATAGAGTAACACTACTGTCATTAACATATTGCATTAACATTTTTAGTATTAGCTTTTTAATAAAAATTTTGATTGATTAAGCATTGGTAAAACAATGTAATTATTTTACTGTCGTAAATACTCTTACACTCTTTTCTTTTCCCCTCTGTATTTGTGTACTAGGTGGTTGTGAATGCCCTTTTAGGAGCAATTCCATCCATCATGAACGTGCTTCTCGTTTGTCTCATATTCTGGCTAATTTTCAGCATCATGGGAGTAAATCTGTTTGCTGGGAAGTTCTACTACTGTGTTAACACCACAACTGATGAAAGGTTTGAAGTCGACAGAATCAACAATTTTAGTCAGTGCGAGGAACTCATAAAAAACAATGAAACTGCCCGATGGAAAAACGTGAAAGTAAACTTTGATAATGTAGGATTTGGGTATCTTTCTTTACTTCAAGTAGTAAGTGATTACTCTTCATATACCTCTTATTGCTTATATGTAATAGTAAAAAGCAATTTTTCCCCATTTTTTGTCACTAAAAGAGCAATTCTTACCTGGTAATTTTTGTCTGTGACTCAGTAATACCAGTGCATCAATGGCTAATATTTCTCTGTCGTATCATATAGGCAGATGATAATTAGTAGGAACCAAGGATTTCCATGCTTTCCAGCAGGATGATTCCTTCTCCCTTCCTCCCTCCCTCTTTCTCATTACTGGTTTGAGAATTTTCAGAGTTGTAACTTGGAATGGTATTACACCACATCGGTACTCTTAATGTTATTGTTACTAAAGGGCAGGAGTCTGCATTGGTGTAACTAAGTCACAGAAAAGAATTCTCAAATAAGAAATTCCCTTTTCAGTGATTCAGCTGCCACCAGTGCAGACTGGTGTGATCTGAGAAGCAATTCCTCAGTACACAGAGAAGTAGGTGAAGCAGAAGGAAGGCCATTAGATAGCCTGATCTATAAAATCTGTCTCCTTGAGTCCCCACACCAACTAATTTGTGGAGTTTTCTTAACAAAATTAGAATCCAGGAGAGTATCCCTAATGCATGAGGAGGGCTATGGCACTCTATGGCTGTGTTTTCACTGCCAAAAAGGTGTTTTTACAGCAAGATAATTAATGTATGTTAGCTATCTTGTTGTAAAAAAAAAATTGCCTTTTTCGGCAGTGAAGAAATATCCTATGCCTCAAATGATCCAGCAGCCTAATTCTTGGCTAAAGCCAAGAAAATGAGTCTACAGTTCAGGGCTTTAATTTGACAGAATCACATCAAGCTGGCAACTTCATACTCTTTTTTTAAAAAAGCTGACACCTAGTTTTCCAGGGTCTGAGCTTTTAGTTTAAAAAAAAAAGTGAGCCCAGAGCCTTTATGTTTGTGATGAAAATCATGAAAACATGATCCGAGCATAAACTGACAAAACAATTTCAGACAATTGTGAACTACCTCATTCATCTTAGTAGGGTGGTGTCTCAAATGCGCAATTACAATAATTTAAATATCAACATTGTTAAGCATTTCACTACTTATCGCCACATGGAAGAGTGACAAGCATGTTATGAAAATGTGCACAATCCACTGTGAATATAATTTGATTTGGTAACACAAGTGGTTTGTACTTGAAAGAATTACAACACTTTTTTCTCTCAATCTGCCCTGTGGAGCCAATAGGCCAGAGTGGAGGAAGGGAGTCCAGGGTGGGAAATGAGCCCCACCAAAGGGAAGCCATTCCAGCAGAGCTCAGCAAGGCGTCCTCCAAGCCGTCCCCAACTAGTCCAGGGCCTCTCCAGACAGTGGGAGCCTGGTCTGTTCAGGGATGGAGGTAGGACCAGGTGTATTCCTTTCTGTCTTTAGTGGCTGCTGTTCTCTCCTCTGCCGGAGGCTGTCTGCAGACTCAGGAAGGCATCACTGCAACATTTATACTTGGTTCTCATTTTCAAGCTATTCTTTTCAACCACTAGATGGAGAGGGGGTCTCAGTTACTACAGAGAATTCTTTCCCAGATATCTGCCTGATGGGTCTTGCCCACATGCTCAGGATCTAAATGATCACCATATTTGGGGTTGGGAAGGAATTTTCCCCTGGGTCAGATTGGCTGGGGTTTTTTCGCCTTCCTCTGCAGCATGGTCACTTGCAGGTTTAAGCTAGTGTAAATGGTGGATTCTCTGTAACTTGAAGTCTTTAAATCATGATTTGAGGATTTCAGTAACTC